TCTAACAAGCTCCCAGGCCATGCTGCTGCTGCTGCTGGAATAGCATATAGTAAGAATATATACATGAATAAGGCCCATGAGCCGCACCCTACACGGATCCTTTGCCAAAGAGGCATTATTGTGTAATGGGCTGGGACCAGGATGGAAATCAGGAAACCTGGATTTTGGTGTTGTTCTTGCCACTAACTGGGAACTCTTGAACAAGTGACTTCACTATCCTAGGTCTGTCTTCTCATCTGAAAAATAAAGGATTAGACTTAACATTTAAATGACATTTTTGTGTGTATCTGCTGAATCTAAAATTTTACAGACTTCTGTTTATGACAGTAAGATGGACTGAGTATTCAGGGAAGCTCCTCCAGGTATAGCACTCCTAAAAATGGTGGATTGATTTTTTTTTTTAAAGGAAGGAAGAAGAAAATGGAAAAACTTTTAAAATGCATGGCTGAGTTGGCAGGAAAGAATTCTTGGAGACCAAAAAGAATTAGACAGTTTAAATCCAAAGGAGTAAACAAGTGCAGACATTGGCATTTGCCTGGTGAATCCCTTATGGCCAGAACCTGGGATTACAGACCACTCATGGGAACAAGAGATAAGGCCAGGGTCCCCACAGGGTCAGAGGTTAAATCAAAGAGCCCCCTTCATAAAGCCAGGACCGTTAACAGGTACTACCCACGTAAGTCACCTGGGAGAGCCCATCCTGGCTTCACTGGAATGTACTAAACAAGAAAAGCTCTCTTGGGAATTCCTAACCATAAGCCCTCACTCACATAGTTTTAGAGCTAGGGTACATGTTACCTGTGCGGCCTGAAGAACACCAAGCTGAAAATTTGGTTTAAGGTGGACTTGAGTTGGTGGTGCTGCCAGGTGCCTACGAGAAACAAGTTTAAATCCTCCCTGAAGGAATGCACTTTAAATCTAAGCCTCAAATAATTCCTTCAGATAAAGTTCCAAAGAATAAGGACCTACAACAAAAATAGTGTATGCACACGTGAGGGAATAAGCTCCTATGAGTAAGCAACAACAGAAACCGTAGACTCCATTCTTCAAAGATTATACATATTGTAATTATCAGATAAAGAATACATTTTAAAAGTGGGAATATGAGGGTACTTCAAAAAATGTTTGTGAAAAAATAGAATTAAAGATAATATGAATCTTTCCTTGAAATTTGTGAAGTACCCTCATACAGATATCTGAACTCTAGAACTGAATAGATTCAGATAAATTTTTTGAGATAAAATTTCCCAAAATACTATCAAAAAATTAACACTGTCTATTGTAGAAAATGAAGACTTCTAGACCAAAATGATGGTGTCCTATAATTCCCTTAGACCTGCTTCATTTTATTGTTTTTTTCTTTTTGTCTTGTTAACTCAATAATTTCAAATGATGTGTCTTTGAATTCATTTATTCTTTCTTTTGTTTGATCAAGTCTGCTAATGATCCCCTCTGGATTTTTCAATTCAGTTATTGTATTCTTCAGCTCCAGAATTTCTATTTGGCTCTTTTTTTATAGTTTCTGTCTCTTTGTTGATATTCTCATTTTGTTCACTCATCATTTTCCTGATTTTGTTTAGTTATCTGTGTTCTCTAATATCACATTGAGATTCTTTAAGATGATTATTTTGAATTATTTGACAGTTAATTCATAGAACTCCATTTATTTAGGCTTGGTCTCTGGAGATTTATTTTGTTCCTTTGATTGGGTTATATTTCCTTATTTTTTCCATGTATCTTATTTTTTGTTGTAATTTGTGTATTTGAAAAAACAGCCACCTCTCCAAGTCTTTACAGACTGGCTTCATCGAGGAGAGGACCTTCACCAGTCAGCCTGGCTAGAGATTCTGGGGGCCTCTGAAATCTTCTATGGGGAAGCATTGCCTCTGGGCTTGCATGTATAATTTCCCAATTTGAAAGGTTTGCTGGTTTCTTTATCAGGAGCTGGTGGTCCTTGCTCCCCTAGTGTCTGTCTGCAGTGCTGTAGAATCTCTGGCACATACATTCTCCTCTTCTCTTTCCCTCCCAAGGGAGAAGCTGTGACTTTGGCTGTCATGAGTTGTGCCGGCTTGGGGGAGAGGCTGACATAGTTTACATGAAATGGCTTTTCTGGGCCGGCCCAGTGGTGCACTGCTACAGTGCGCCGCTTGGGAGCGCAGTGGCGCTCCCGCCAAGGGTTCAGATCCCACATGCAGACCGGTTCCTGCTCACTGGCTGAGCGAGGTGTGGGCGCAACACCGAGGGTTGCGATCCCGTTGCCGGTCCTGGTCCGGTGCGGGCGTGACACTGAGGGTTGCGATCCGTTGCCGGACACGAAAAAAAACAAACAAAAAAAGAAATGGCTTTTCTTATCTTTTTCAGTATAGCTCTTTTTGTCTTTGAGCTTGCTTGGGGTACTCTGACTTCCTAACTGGTTTCTGGAGTTCTCATAAAGGCTTTTGGACTGCATATTGTTGTTAAATTAGTGTCTCTGTCAGGAATGAGGTCTGGGGCTCCCTGTTCTGCCATCTTGCTGACTGCAAAATTTTAAGTCTTTTCAAACACTACCAAATTACTCTCAGAAAGCTTGTTCATTTATTTCACTTGTTAACCTGATATTTTGCCATCTTAATAGGCAGAATTAAGTCTTACATTTGGAATCCTACATTTAGAATTATTTGGATGTTTAAATTATGTAATATTTGATATTTTATGTTGTGAAGTATATTTAAAAAATAAAAATTAATGAAACTATCATAAAATATTAGAACCAGAATACCACCGTTACTGCTCTCCCCGCCTGGCTGCTTCTCCCCATCCCGTCCCCGCCTCCCCCACAGAAACCCCTGTGAATTTTATATTTATATACTTCAAGTTTTATATTTTTCTGTTTCTTGCTTTTTCATGTGTAATTTTATATGCAAACAATATATTTAACTTTGCTTGTTTTTGAGCTTTCTAATAAAGGTATCATTCAATATGTAGTGTTCTGACTTGCTTTTTTTCCACTTAATATGTTTCTAAGATTAAGTCAAGTTAAACATTTTTTATATACTTATTGGCCATTTGTACTGTTTACTTTGGGAATTATCTCTTTCTGTCCACTTTGTACCAGCATTCTTTTTTTTTCTGGTATAGATAAGTTTCAAGATTCCTTCTTACTCTAAATTCTATGATTTTAAGATTTTTCTCTTATAAAGTAAAGTATCATTTGGAAGTTTTAATGTTAATCAATTGATAATTGAGATAAATTGATCTCCAAATTCTCATTTTCTGAAGCTATTCATTATATAACTTTCTTCCAGGAAGTAGTAATTGTGTTTGTTGCTACAACAAAATGAATATAATAATTTCCAAAATGGTATCATATTGTTATTTAAGCTTAAAACCCACCAGGTTTACAAATGCTTATTGATCCATTTGTACCTACCCATGCATGACATTATTACCCCATGAAGGCTGATTGAAAATGGTGAAACACCAGTATTCCCAATGTACCCCCACTGGTCTTTATAATGAAACTGTTTAAAAAACTGTATTTATGGTTTTTCAGTTGGCAATTTTTCAAAGGAAGTCTGGTTTCATTTTTTAAAAGGTTTGGTCTTTCCACAGGATTTGAATCCTTCAGGCTGGATTCATACATTAGGATTTCAGTAGCGTTTTGGGTACCTTAGGAAGCTACCAGGGTTTTGTTGCTAGCTTATATCTATATGAAAAGTGAAGTAAAAAGAAATATTGCCTAGAGCAATGGTTTTAAAATGTTCTTGATCTGAGCTCACTTTGGCAGTTTGAAAGACACCCATATACACTTCTGGATGGAAAAATGTTGGCTTTATTCTAACAAAAAATGAGAGAGGAATAAAATGGTGTAAAACATACAAAAGTATGTGGACACATTCAGTGCACTGAATTAAGGGATTTTATTTTCCATTAACATCAGTGGTAGGATCAGTTGGCCAATCTTAAAATGTAGGAATTTTAAAGACTGTCTTGTTTTGATTTATTCCCAGAGACATTATGTATAAACTAAAATGCTCAAAAGAGAAATGATCACTGTATATCAGTGGACGACTCTCATTGAAAGTGAAGCTTACATAATAGAAAAGAAAAACGCCATGTGGGAATGTTAAGGGGAAGAAATAAGAACTGGTGTAGAGGAGTAAGTTTGTTAAGAAAATATAATAATAGAAATTTAGGGTTAAATAGTACTGTCAATGTTCAGCCCTAACTGAAAATCTTTAATGATATGATTTTCATCTTTAGTGAATCTTTACAGTCTTCCCCAAGGCAGACATTCCATATTTGGGCAGCTAAAATTCTTTCCAAGTTTTTCCTTTTATTGAGCCCAAAACTATCTTACTATAATGAGGGTATTTCAGAAAGCTCGTGGAAGATTTGTATTATCTTTTAATTCTATTTTTCTACAAACTTTTTGAAGTACCCTTGTACAGAGGAAATGTAATCCTCTCCTATATGAACGCTCTTCACGTGTTTGAAGGTAGTGATTTTGTGATCTAGATTCTCTGCCACCTGGGTTAAGCTTACCCAGCCTCTTCTGCAGTTTTTCATATGATGCGCTTTTAGGGCTTCTCACCAGCCTTAATATAAGGTGGATGATACAGCTCCTATTGGTCTTATAACTTCCTGCTTCTTCTTTCTTCAAGTACTATTTGTTCTTTGCTAGGTTTTTGGTTTTTGGTTTATTTTTTGGTTTTTTTATTTGTTTTTGCTAATCAGAATACTCTCTTCTCACAAGTTCTATAAAATTGGAATCTATAACTAAGCACACATTTGAAAGAATACATATTACTACTCTTAAGTGATATTTTATCTGTCTTAGAGATTTCCCACAGAGATTTCCCTTAAATTTCAGAAAACAAGAATTACATCCCTAAGAAGGTAGTTTCCAAATGAAACAACCTGCCTATTTTCTGGCAAATAAGTATGCTTTAAGATGCATAATATAGTGTTATATTTTCTCAACGTATTAAACAATTGCATTTTTATTTTTGTGTTTTCAGATAGTGGCCAGAACTGTAGTGCCAGTAGTAAAGGTGAACGACTAAGTGCCAAACTCAGAGCTTTACCTGGGACAAATGAACCTTATGAAAGTAGCAGTAACAAAGAAATAGGCAAGTGCTGGTACTTTCCACCCAGTTCCCACAGGCATAGCAGGTCTGAAGAAGACTGGTGAGATGGCAAAATGTGTCATTGGGAATTATTAAGAATTTGTTATTTATAGAGAAAATTTAAAATGACTTGGGAGAGCATTTCTGTTCACTCTGAGTTGTTCAGTTTTGATTATGAGAGTAACTGGTTTCACATTTGTTTTGTTTTTCTGTATTCCTCTAATATAAAAATCTGTTTTGAACCCTAGATGCCTCCTATCTGGATCCACTTGGACCTCAAATAGAAAGACCAAAAACTGCAGCCAAAAAAAGAATCGATGAGGATGATTTTGCTGATGAACAGTTAGGAGATGATTTGCTTCCAGAATAATATTCACTTTTACATGTTATTTATTAAAGAAAAGAAGTCGCCTTACAAGATAATACTCATGTTAAACTTTGGATTATATATCCAAATTTTTTACACTGTCAAAACTTTAAATAAGTGTATTCTGTTCTATGAGTATGGATTTAAGGTTTTTTTTGTTTTTTTTTTTAATAGAATAAAAACATGTGAAACTAATACTTTAGGCCAGTGACTTCCTTACCTTTTTGAAACATTGACGGACAGGAAGAAATAAACTTTGTAACACAACCTCATACACACACACATATATAAAGTATGCATATGTATTCACAAAAATTTACCCTATTACTGGAGTACATGCTGATATTTTCTATAATTTAAAAGAAAGTGCTAGTAGCGAAATCACTACATTGATTTTATGACTTGCTGCTTGAAAACTACTGTGTTGGGACATATGTGTGATGAGTCTTTACTCAAGCTAAATTGCTTGGAGTTTGGGAACTGTAAGTCTTTGGAAGTTTTGCCTCATGCGGATTATAACACTATTAAAACAATTATGTTTTGGAAGCAGTATAAAGTTTAATGAGAGAAAATACCAAACCACAATCCTGTTGCTCTCTTCTGCCATTTCCTTTCTACCTTCGGCCAAGTGGTATGTAGAAATAGCACAGAGCAATGACAGCTCTAAGATTGCTTTTTCTACTTGTGACTTAGGGGATGGGGTGGAGTGGAGAGCAGGACTGCCTACCTTTTCCTTTAGCAGTGTGTTTGGCTGGTCCAGACTATCCAGGGGAATTAAAATGGTGGAAAAGTGAGAAGAAATGGCTCATCTTTAACTCTACACTAGAGAAAATAGACCTCTCAATCTTACAACATTGTCTCTACAGTGTGCATGATACTGTTAGGTACAGCAAAACGAAAATCAAAATCAGACCACATTCCCTGCTCCTATGGTAGGTTATGATTTAATGGAGGAGACATCCAAAAATACACTAAAAATCTAATATGCACAGAAAACTATTCAAGATTCTGGGGTACAGAAGTGAATGAGACAGAACAAGACCCTGCCGTCAAGGAGCATACATTCTGGTGGGAAAGATGAACAGTAAATATATTTTTTAAAGCACTTTAGATTTTATTAAGTACAATTAAAATAAAATGGAGTAATTCAATAGGGAGCGATTGTGGTGGGGGAGAGGGCTCTAAGAGGTGGCATTTGTATTAGCACTATGATGAGAAGAAGAAAGCATTCTAGGCAGAAGGAACAGCAAGTGCCAACACACTGAAAAGAGAATGATCTGGATGGGTTATTGAGTTAGAGTGATAGTAAGAGGGTTTTGGGCCCAACAGTGTGGATGGTGTATTTTATATGCAGCAAAGTGAAAGGATATGCAATCCAAAAGGTTAGCAGGGGCCAGGTCATGTAGAACCTTATAAAGAAGAGTTTGGATCCTATTCTACTTATGATAGAGAAGCTCTCAGAAGGTTTTATGCAAGGGACGTGAGTGATGTGCTTTCATTTAACCTTTAGAAACCAGTAATCACACTGGCTATCATGAAAATAAGTTGAAGTGGGTGGCTGAGGTGGAAGGGAAGGTTTGAAACTACTAGCAGTAGCCTCAGTAAGATATGAAGGTGATTGAGACCAAGTTTTTAGCAATGGAAACTGAAAATTGGTCAGACTCAGCATGTATTTGTAGGTAGAGCTTCGAAGACTTACTAATGGATTGTGCAGGAAAGAGAGGAAAGGATGATACCAAAATTTGTGGCTGAGGAACTGAGTGGCTAGTGTTGCTTTTTACTGACCCTGGGAAAGGGGCTTTCCTAGGGTGAAAAGTAGCTATCAGGGCTTTGGGTAGTCATGTGGGATTGGCATAACATGTTGGAAACTTAGAGAAGCCCCAAACTTATGACTGATTTTCCACCACAGGGCATGTACTAGAGTGGCATGTCAGCTGGGGGGATGCTGGAGGCTGGGGGACTTGGGATGGAGGCTTTTAAACACTTAGTTAAATCTTCCATAGTCTTATAGTCCTTAGGGGACAAAGGGAAGGACTTTCCACAAACAAACAATATCTACCCTCAAGACATTTGCTATTTTATGAATCTGCGTAGGGCTGGAGGTTAATGATCTAAACACATAGCCTCCAGGGGCTGACTTGACTCTCCACCTTTCACAGCTGAAGAGACAAATCTGCTATGTTCTTAGTTAAAAGCCAGTCGACTGACTCTTACAAAGACTGCAACCTAGCTCAATCCCTAATTGGACTGAGGTAATTAGTCCCCAATTCTCTCTGCCTAGCAGAGGAAAAAATAACTTTCTCTGGTAACAATATCACTTGTAGCTTCTATAGTTCTTGTTATATACAATGTCTGCCATATAATAAAAGATTACTAGACATGCAAGGAGGTAAGAAAATGTGACCAGCAATCAAGAGAAAACATAAACAGAAGCAGACCCTTAGAAAATGCAGGTAATGGATTTCACAAAGAAGGACTTTAAAATAACTATGATTATTGTGTTAATAAAATAGAGAAAAGATGGACAAAATGGATGGAGGAAAAGATGGAGAATTTCAAGAGTACTGGAATCTATGAAAAAGTCAAGTGGTAACCTAGAACTGAAAGATATAGTATCTGAAATTAAATTAATTGGATAGATAGAACAATGGCTGGACACAGCAGATGTTAGGATTAGTGAACAGGTCAATAAAAAAAAATCCAAACTGAAGCACAGGTAGAAATAAAAAGGGAATAATAAAGCAGATGATGAGACATTTGGGACATGGTCAAGAGTTTAAATAATTATAATAGGAATCCTAGAAAGAAAAGAAAGAGAAAATGGGATAGAAGTGAAATTTGGTGAGATAGTGTCTAGAATTTTCCCAAATTGATGACAGACCCACAGATTCAAGAAGCTCAGCAAACACCAAGGAGAGTAGATACAGAGAAAATTATACTTTACACATATTATGCACACTCTGTTGAAAACCAAAAATGAAGAAATTCTTTAAAATAACCAGAATAAAAAGAACACATTATTTTCAGAAGAACATTAATAAGACTTATGGATGACTTTTCAATAGAAACTATGGAACCAGAAGACAATAGAATGGCATCTTTAAAGTGCTGTGGAGTGGTGGGGAGTTGGGGGAACTCTGCTAACCTAGATTCCTATTCCAGTGAGTATATCCCTTAAATTTTAAGGTTAAGACTTTTTCAGACAGACAAAATTTGAGAAAACTACCAGAAGCTTAGCTCTACAGGAAATACCAAAAGAATTTCTACAGGCTAAAGGAACCTGATCTTAGAAGGAGGTATGAAATGAGAGAAAGGATGAAAAGCGCCCCAAAGGTATGGGGATATATAAAAGAAAATTGGCTCTTTAAAACAACAACAATAGTAATAATAATGCCTGTGGGGTTTTTAACATATGTAGAAATAAAATACGTGACAATAGTAGCCCAAAGATTGGGATTGGATGTCAAACTGCTGTAAGTTTTTATATCATTCAGACAGTGCTAGACTGTATTAAGTCAAGGATACATCTTGAAGTCTCTAGTTTTTCTTTTCCCCACTGGGGGTAAAAGAGTATAATTAAAAAGCTAATAGTACAACCAACATAGAAAGATTTGATAGAATTAGAAAATAACCATTTTGCAACCACCACAATAGTAATTGATTCAGGCAAGAATCCTCAATAGATGCTAAAACAAGCGGAGGAAAGTTTGATAAGAATGTATTCACATAGCCTCAACATTTTCCCCTACGAATTACTTATGAATTATAAGAGGGAAAATAATAAGTTTATACTGGGGAAACCTGGTGGAGGGTACTACCTTAACCAGTGACCGAAGTTAACATGGCCAATGATGGGACAAGTCAAAACCATGTGCTTCCTGATTGATGGAGTTTGGATGTGTTGTCCCCTCTAAAACTCATGTGGAAATCTGATCCCCAGTGTGGCAGTGTTGGAAACTGACTGAGTCATGCGGGAAGATCCCTCATGAATGGATTAATGCTCTCCCTGGGGGAGGGAGGATTAATGAGTGAGTTCTCGCTCTATTAGTTCCCACGAGAGCTCATTGCTTAAAAAGACCCTGGCACCTTCTCTCTCTTGCTTCCTCTCGCCCTGTGGTCTGCTTGTACCCGCCGGCTGCCTGCCACTTTCCGCCATGAGTAGAAGCAGCTTGAGGCCGGTGCCAGATGCAGCTGTCCCAGAGTCGTAAGCCTAATAAACCTCTCTTCTTTATAAATTACCCAGTTTCAGGTTGTTGTTACAGCAACACAAAACGGACTAAAACACTGATGTGATGTACTGAGAGGACACGAAATTACCTAGTTAATATTCTTGCGGGCCGGCCCAGTGGCGCACTCGGTCCACACACACAAAAAATCTAACCTAAACCTTATCACAAGGAGCCATCCCAAACTGAGGAAAATTGTACAAAATAACTGGCCTGAAAATGTCAAAAATTTTCAAAAATAGCAAGGCCATGAAAAAAAAATGTCTGAGGAAGTGTTCCAGGAGACATGTCAACAAAAAGCAATGCAGGATCATGAATCAGATCCTGGACTGGGGAAAATTTTGCTGTAAAGGACATTATAGAGACAAATGGTTAAATGTGAATAGGTCTTTATATTAGAAAATAGTAGTATATTTGTAAAATTTCCTAATTTTGATAACTGTGGTATGGTTATATAAGTGTATGTCTTTATTCCTAGGAAATACACACTGAAGTATTTCGGCTCAGTAGTTCAGAAGAAAGTACAATGGTAAAGCAAATGTGGAAAAATGTTGACAACTAGTGGATCTGAGTGAAAGGAATAGACAGTTCTTTTGTAGCATTCTTACAATTTTTCTGTCTTAAATTATTCCAAAATAAAAGCTTTTTTAAAAAGCTAATTGAGGGGCCAGCCCGGTGGCGCACTTGGTAGAGTGCGGCGCTTGGGAGTGCAGCGGCACTCCCACCGAGGGTTTGGATCCCATATAGAGACCGGTCCGCTCACTGGTTGAGCACGGTGTGGGCGCGACACCAAGGGTTGCGATCCCATTACTGGTGACAAAAAAGACAAAAAGGAAAAAAAAAAAAGCTAATTGAATATAAAATATAATGATAAAAAATACTTTTTAATCCAAAGACATAAAGGAGAAATAAAGGAACAAAGAACAGATGGACAAAG